GGGGACCCTCATCATCAGAGAAGATAATAAACATACTTCAGAATACATAGACAGAATACATTGACAGAAAACACAATTATGAATACATTGGTAAAAAATATCAAAGATTATGAATCTCCTCCAGCTCCTCGCCGGACGAGAACCCAGTATGCAGCATGCATTTCCCCTCTGGATGGCCACGCTGAGGCGCTGGAACATGAAAGTGGCTGCCCTTGGGTCCCTGGCGGTGTCGTTGAGTCTGGAAACCAGTTCTTTAAGGAAACGTGTGACATTTTTTCCCTATGATCCTAAGGTCTCTGATCCCACTGGGACAAATTGATACTGTTGGCCTGTATACCGCAGCCCTGGTCACAGACCGGGCCACTGGGGCGTTGACTCCCGAACCCTCTCCAGGTATATATATATATATAATATATATATATATATAATATATATGTGTGTGTGTGTGTGTGGTGTGTGTGTGTGTGTGTGTGTGTGTGTGTGTGTGTGTGGTGTGTGTGTGTGTGTGTGTGTGTGTGTGTGTGTACTCACCTAGTTGAGGTTGCAGGGGTCGAATCCAAGCTCCTGGCGTGTGTTTATTTATTTATTTATTTAGTAATTTAAGCATACAAACAGAGGTACAAAAAATACAGGTAAGAGCAGCATGCCAAAGCCACTTATATGCATATAGCATTACGGGCTGGCTTAAAATTAACTTAATATTAACTAAGCAATGATGAAATCAGTGATAAAACATTATTGTAAACAGATAACTATAAAGCACAAATGAGTATTACAAAGACAGGTCATATGGTTGCTTGCATTGCTGTACATTCAGTCGAATGGAGTATTCTGTTAGGTAGTGTATTTAAAAAAAAATAATAAAGTTAGATTGGGTCCTAGGTTTAACATTTGTGTGATATAATTGTGAGTAACATATAGGATATACAATTTATAAGGTTCAGTTATTCAGTATTTATTTGGTTTTGAGTGAGTAAGTGTTCTTTGAGAAGAGACTTGAATTTATAAACAGGTAGTGTTTCTTTTATATTTACAGGTAATGAATTCCAGATTTTAGGGCCTTTTATGTGCATTGAGTTTTTGCATAGCGTGAGATGGACACGAGGAACATCAAAGAGTGATCTGTGCCTTGTGTTATGGTCATGTGTTCTGTTGAGGTTGGCAAGGAGATGTTTAAGGGGAGGGTTAATATCAGAGTTAAGTGTTCTATGTATGTAATAGGTGCAATAATAAGTATGGATGTTTTGTATGGTGAGTAGGTTGAGTGTTTTGAATATTGGTGGAGTGTGTTGCCTGTAGTGAGAATTTGTTATCATTCTAACTGCAGCCTTTTGTTGGGTAATTAGTGGTCTGAGATGGTTAATTGTTGTTGAGCCCCATGCACAAATTCCATAGGTGAGATAGGGGTAAATAAGAGAGTGATAAAGGGCCAGGAGGGCTGACTGTGGAACATAGTACCGTATCTTCGATAGTATGCCTACAGTCTTGGAGATTTTCTTAGAAATTGTTGTATATGTGTATGAAATTTGAGTCTATTATCGAGGTGGATTCCTAGGAATTTTCCCTCTGTTAGCTTTGTGATAGGTGATCCGTTTATTGTTATGTTAAGAGGTACATCTGTAGCTCTTTTACCAAACTGAATGAAGTAGGTTTTGTCAAAGTTTAGTGTAAGTTTGTCAGTCCTCATCCAGGTAGATATTTTCTGTAATTCGGTGTTACAGTATTGGCTAGCGTGACTGGGCTCGGGTGAGAGAAGACGTATGTAGTGTCATCTGCAAAAAGTGTGGGTTTGAGTAATTGCGAAGCACCTATGTGACATGTCAAGATATCTTATTAATGAAAATAAGATACCAGATATACTAAGCAAATTTCCTAAATTTGCTTGTAACAGATAAGTGAACTATAGATATGTAGATATAAATCCATATGTATTCCTGTTAACCCTTTGGGGCCTAGTTCCTAGGCCTTTTGTGTATCCATATGCTCTCGCGCTACCGTCCACAGGATGGATATGGGGTGCACAATAAACTAGCCACTTCGGTGGCAAAATCTAAATCTAAATCGAAGCATTTAGTAGGTCATTTATGTATAGGAGAAAGAGAAGAGGGCCAAGGACACTTCCCTGTGGGACACCAACTGTAATTGGTTGTGCGGAAGAGCTTGCCCTATTTGCGTACACATATTGGCTTTTGTTGCTGAGGTAAGACTTGAGGTAGTTGAGGGAGTGCCCTCTAATACCATAGTGTGATAATTTTACGTGGAGCAAGTCATGGTCAACTGTATCAAAAGCTTTACGTAAGTCAATGAAGATCCCCAGTGGGACTTCTTTTTTCTCTATTGCAGTGTATATATGTTCTAGCATGTGTATAATAGCATCATTAGTATTTTTATTAGGCCTGAATCCAAATTGGCAGGGGTTGAGAATGTTTTGGGAGATGAGGGAGGAGTAGATTCGTTTATGAATTAATTTTTCGAAGATTTTTGAGAGAGGGTGTAAATTGGATATTGGCCTATAGTTATTCAACTCTGTTTGGTCTCCTTTATGGATCGGGGTGACCCTTGCTATTTTGAGAACTGTAGGGAAGGTGGAGGATTCAATGGATTTGTTAAAGAGTGTTGCAATGATTGGTGATAGTACTTGTGACGCTTTTTTGTACATAAAGGGTGGTAAGGTATTTAAATCTCCTGCCTTGTTTTTCAGTGCGTTGATAATAAGGGAGACTTCGTATGGGTTAGTCGGAGCTAGGAACAGTGTGTTCGGGTAGTTGCCATTTGGTGGGGTATCTGAGCTTGGGATTTTATTGGCAAGGTTTTGACCTATAGTGGAGAAGAAATCATTGAGTCTGTTTGCTGTTTCTGTTGGTGGGAGTTGGGGTTCATCTGATTTTGTTCATTTTATTTCGCTATGTCGTGATATCTTTTTTGTTCCCAGAATTTCTGATAGGGTCTTCCAGGTCTTTTTTATATCACCTCGTAAGTTGGATAATCTGTTCTCATAATACAATTTTTTTGCTCTTCTTATCAGGCTGGTTAGGATTGACGAGTAACGTTTTGTTTGGTCTCTGGTTATGTGACCCATTCTGTACTGTTTTTCATATCGGTGTTTTGTATTTATGGATTTGAGAATGCTGGGTGTTAGCCAGGGACTGTTCAGTCTCTTAGCTGTCATCTGTTTAGTTTTTTTAGGGCAGTGCTTGTTATAAAGGTATTGGGTCTTTTTTAGAAAATTATTAAAACATTCGTCAATATCTGTATAGATTTCTAGCTCAGTGTGCCAGTCAATGTTTGTTACTGCTGTTGTGAAGTTATTAATGGCTGCCTCATTGTGAAGTCTGAAGGTGACTTTAGTAGTGTCTTGGGGTATTTTACCAAGAGTTGTTATGAGGAAAGTAGGGTAGTGGTTTGTGGTATTATCTGTAATCATGCCTGATTTTAAAGGGGATATGGTGTTGGTCCAGATGTGGTCAAGTAGGGAAACACTAGTCTCTGTAACTCTTGTAGGTTTTGTTCCCTCATGGAAGGTTCCTTGATGTTGGTGAGGGGCTCTTGATTTAGGGAATTGGAACTGTGCTCCAGTTCCCCGAATTAAGCCTGAATGCCTTCCACATCCCCCCCCCGGGCGCTGTATAATCCTACGGGTTTAGCGCTTCCCCTTTGATTATAATAATAATAATTGTAGGTTTTGTTACTGTTGGTAGCAACATGCAGTTACTCATTGTGTTTGTGAATTCAGTAACGTGTGGGTCCTGGTCTTGCAGGAGATTTATATTGAAGTCACCTGAGAGTAGTAAGTGATCTTTGTTCATGCGTGCATCAGTTATCATACTTCCTAGGTTTTGACTAAATTGGTTAATGTTTGATTGTGGAACTCTGTAGATGTTTATCACTGTGAGAGGTTTTTGTAGGTATTTGGATTTGAATTTAGCTATTATATATTCCCCATGTTCATCCCTTGTGCAAGTATTAGTGATACATTCTAGTTCGTCTGAGTAGTATATAGCAGTGCCACCCGCTTGTTGGTCTGGCCTACAGTTGTGTATGGCTGTGTAACCAGGAATGGCATAGAAAATCTGTAGTATCAGGCTTTTGCCAGGTTTCAGTTAGTGTAATGATGGACATATTGGCATGCAAGGAATTTAGCAATGCTAGGAGGTCATCATAATGCTTGCTTAAAGATCTGATATTGTAGTTAAAGATAGTTATGTTGTTGTTGGCACTGAGAAGTGCCTTTGATTGTTCTGCTGTGTAGTAATTACAGTAACTGTTTGAATCATTTAAGTCATTAAATAAGAGGTTGGTATCAGGATCAATGCTTGTAATCATAAGATTTGTAGTGAATCTATAGTTAGAATTAAGTATGAATCAAAGTAAATATTCTAAAGCTAAAAAAATAGCACCTGAATTATTTAACAAATGTAAAAATAATGAGCTAAGGTAGTTTTTTAAAGCTAAAATAAAGGAGACAATATAAAAGGGACTAAAATAATTTGTGGTGAACAAATAAAGTAATGATCAAATAATGGAGCTTGGGAATATGATAGTAGGTAGTACTTTAAAGGTAATTCTTTAAAGTTAGAATTATAATATAAAATTATAATATAAAAGGGACTAATATAAGTTGTGGTGAACAATAAAGTGGTAATCAAATAATTGCACTAAGGTCTAATATAATGACTTTTGTGGAGTCTATGTTTTGAGCTAGAATGAGCTATAGTACAACTAGATTTAATCTAATAATATAACAATACAAATTAAAAATAGCACCAGTCTCTCACTAGTAATTGCAATATGGTCTAATATAATGAATTTGGTATTGACTATAGTGTGTGTACATGTGTGTGTGTGTGTACATGTGACTTTGAGGTATGTATGAAATAAAAATCACTTAATTCTGCAACAATTATGTACATTTCGAAAATACATTTTTTTTATTATTTGCCTAAATACTTGATATAATCGATTATAATTGTGAGTGAAGTAAATGTATGTGGCGAGGAGTGGCAGGTGTGGGGGTGGTGATCGTCGAGGCTGGTGGTGGGAGAGTGAGTCTTCCTGGCTGCTGGTGTTGTCCCATAGTGACGTAAGAACCAGTGTCAGGACCACCCCATGTCTGAGCACCGCCAGCCGAAATGCTCGTCAAGGAATTGTAAGTTAAATGGCACGAGCAGTGTTTGTGGCTTCCCAGGGTGGTGGTGTGTGGAGAGGAGGGTTGAAGGTGTGGAGGAGCGTGGGCAGGTTAGGGGTTAATGGTGGCTGGGTTAGCCAATACACGGGCAGTGATAGGCACCACCTCCGTTAGGCATTTGTTATCAGGCAATGGAGTCCGGTGTCCTGTCAAAAATTGGGCCAAGGGTACTTGGCCCGGGAAAACCACTTTGTGTAGATGATACAATGAATTATGTGGGGTGTGTGGGCGAAGTGAATGATGAGTGTGTGGGTGCACTGTGGGCGGCTGGAACTTCTCCAACACACTAATTACCTGTCAACATCCTCATTGATTGCATGTTAACTGGTGAGCACATACGCTGCCTTATTGAGTGCTTCCTGTAAAAGTTTTACCTTCAGTGGCTGGCTTGAAGCAGCAGGGCCCAAAGGGGCCCTAGAAAGCCTAAAATAATCCTATTTCAGGTTTTAATATCTGAATAAAAATTTTACTTTGATTTTTTTTCCCCCTGATGTTATCATGCTGTTTGAAACTAATCTTGCGAAACTACTTCCGAGTGAAATTTAATGTCTTTACTGTGACTTATTATTCATAGAGGAGTGCTAAACTTGCAGGGATCATACAACACTTGAGGAATGGGAGGTTATGTGGTTTGATCCAAGGAAAGGGAGTGGTAACTCCAGTTCATTGGATCAAGAGCCCTTCTCTGGCATTCAAGATTTCCATTTCATGGGGGTTGGGAGTATCAGATTAGTTTAGGATCTTTTTTCTTTTTCTTTGGAGAAGAACCCACAGTACCCATGTATGCACATAGTGCCATATGCAATTGCATTTTTCACTGAAAATAAGCAAAAGATGTGGCAAATGTTTAATAAGAAACTAAAACCTTACCATTAATGAGTCCTTTAAGGTAGGTGCTTTAGTGCTGGGGAAGGACTCTTCTAAAGAATTGTATTTACCAAATGGAAATATCATTTGACTTGATTGGGTTATCCTAGATTCTACATAATTTAGGTAAATACTGAGTTTAAGTCCTTATGAGTTTACAGATAATTTACAATTTAAATTGTCTGTTTTGAGAGTTGTGCAGTGATGATAATGAAAATGTAATGTAATTAATATAATTTAACCTAACCAAGCCTAAATATAACCTAACATAATTAATAATTGTTCTAGCAGTACATGAACTATTGCATGCAAAAGTATCAAATTGCTGTATATAGTAGTCCCCTCAAGGAAGGGTCCTTGATGCTAGTGAGGGGCTCTTGATCTTTGGAATTGGATCTGTGCTCCAGTTCCCTGAATTAAGCCTGAATACCTTCCGCATCCCCCCACAGGCGCTGTATAATCCTACGGGTTTAGCACTTCCCCCTTGATTATAATGATAATGTATGTAGTAGTGTAACACGAAGATGGGATAGTATTATGTAGTGGTAATAGTAGTGATGGTAGTAGAAATAATGCAACAGTGGTAGAGGTGGCAATAATAAGGTAGTAATGGTAGTGACAAAAAAAAAATGGGGAGAGGTTGGAGACTTAACAAAGAGATAGTAATAATAGTGGAGGTAGTCAAAGAACAAGAGAGCACTGCAGGAAAGCTAATGGTCCACAAGGGTAGAACCAAATTCCAGCAGGACAAAACTTCATAGAACAGGACCCACTTAGGCAGAAGACAAGAAAGTCAAAGAAAATACAGCCTCTTCTCACTTAGCAATGTACTCATTTACTGACGACTTGGACTTACGACAGGCTCTTTGACCAGTATTCACACCTAAATAATGTATGTTAGAGCTGATTTCCACTATTCTGTTCATTACAGTTTACAGTACACTACTGTATAAATATTTAAAAATATATCAGAAATGCCATAAATGGTGTGAAGGTGATATTAAAACAATATCAAAGATGGTTGACACAAACCCACTACCATTATAGTATGCTCCTCACTTACTGATGAATTTGTTTACCCACGAGGTCTTAGGAACGAAACTCCGTCGTTAAGTGAGGAGAGGCTGTGTAGGGACAGAGAACAGATAAAGCAAGGAGGAGATAAAGAACAGGTCGAGTCACAAGTATTCTGATGTTTGGAATATTAGAACCGTCTTGAAAGTATATACTCATACAAAACAAACACTATTTCTATAAAGAGGAATGTAGGTATATTATACACCTAGGGAAAATAAATGATCTGTAATTGTCTGTGTGTGTGTAAGTTTTGACAAATTTTAACTTTTTATACTAGATTTGTGTATACAGCGGTACCTCGTGATATGAACAGCTTAAAACTAACAATTATGTAAGTGCTTTTGTAAGTGTATTTTTGGGGGTCTGAAACTGATTAATCTGATTTACATTATTCCTTGTGGGAACAAATTTGTTCGGTATCGGCACTCAGTCTTCTGGAATGAAAAAAATTAATATTCCGAGGTACCACTGTATTTTATGGTAGTAAATGATAAAATAGACTAGTATCTACATATATTTTATGCATTCATAACATGCTTAACATTTTCTTAATTTTTTCGGTCACAAACCTCCAAACACTTTACAGTGTATTTATTGAAAAAATCTACGTGTAAGTCAACCCTTGCACAGTTCAAACCCATGTTGTTCAAGGGATCAACTGTATGTTAAGTGGGTGTATTTTTTGAAGACTTGGGGAGTGTGTTGTCTGGCAGTAGACTGGGTGATCATTCGTATGGCCACTTTTTGTTGTGTTATTATTGGCTTAAGGTGATTTGCTGTAGTGGATCCCCAGGCACAAATAAGCATAGGTGAGGTAAGGACAGATTAAAAAGTAGTGTAATGTAAGTACTGTAGTGCTATTTGAGGTACATAGTAACATATCTTTGAGAGGGTGCCAATTGATTTAGATATTTTTTAGTAATGAGTTGAATTTCAAGTTGCATGATACTCACTCCAAGGTCCTCCTCAAGTGAGGCTTGCAGTTTGTGTGCAAGAGCCATAAACTCTACCATTGATAGCCTAATAATCAAGGGTGGGTGCTGTGATACTGGTGAAGGACTCGTCTTGGTAATTGAAGCTACCTTCCCTTTTCTTGTAGCAAATTTGGTTACTATACCTTCCATTCCTCAGGTGCTGTATGACCCCCTGTGTGTTTAGTACCTCTCCAGTGAATAAAAAAAAAAATGATAGTGGTGAGTTATCACTTGCCAACAAAGGTTTTGGCTCGCTTTAAAAGCACATGTTCAACTAATTTTGGGACGCTGAATTCAAATCTGAATTTAGTTTTGCTCTAATGCATACAATTTCTGTAAAATAAAACCTCACGGTGAATGATTTCACAAAGACATTTTGGTCATGGAGAAGAGCTTTCAGGGAAACCTGATCAGTTTGACGACTGTCTTCAGCTGGACACTAGTTGGTGTCAGAGAGCGATACTGAAAAAGATAGGACATTTATTAGAGGAAACATTTCACCACAAGTGGCTTCCTCACCATACCATTTCTTCATAGGCAGAAAAGCCTGAAAGCTGTGATGTAGATGTTTGTATGACAATGGAAAATTATTTATGTAATTTATATAATATATATACTGTATAATGAATTTTCATTCAGAAAGATTAATTTGTCATTTCATACACCACTTAATATCTATGATTGTTAGGTAACAGATATCATGTGGTTCTTCAACCCTAAATAGCCTTAAAAAAAATTGCATGACAGACTAAAGCTCAGATTTGTGATCACTATATTAACGTTAGCTTTAAGTAACCAATTTGGTTTCTGAACTGGATAAAAAGTTAAATTTTGTTGGGTAGTGTAATTGACCGTTGTTTAACCCTTCAACTGTCCAAACGTAGACCTTCATTCACTCACGTAGCACTCTGAACATAGATCTATGTTTTTTTACATGCTTTCAAATGGAGAAAATCAAGGTCGGAGAGCTACGCGTGTAAACGTAGCTCTATGTTTGGACAGTTTAAGGGTTAAGCCATTCTTAATAAATACAGTGGATCCCCACCTTACGATATTAATCTGTTCCCGAGAGCTCATCGTAAGCCAAAATTATCGTAAGACGAATTAATTTTCTCCATAAGAAATAATGGAAATCAAATTAATCTGTTCCTGACACCCCGAAGTATGAAAAAAATAAATTTTTTTACCACATGAAATATTAATTTTAATACACAAACTGAAGAAGACATGCACAATTACTACTATACTAAGAATAGAATACATGACATTTACCTTTATTGAAGATCTGGTGATGATTGATGGGATGGGAGGAGGGGAGAGTATGGAAGTTGTTTTTGTTTAGAAGGGGAATCCCCTTCCATTAGGAATTGAGGTAGCAAGTCCTTTTCCGGGGTTACTTCCCTTCTTCTTTTAATGCCACTAGGACCAGCTTGAGAGTCAATGGACCTCTGGCGCACAACAAATCTGTCCATAGAGCTTTGTACCTCCCGTTCCTTTAAGACTTTCCTAAAATGGGCCACAACATTGTCATTGTACAGGTTGCCAACACAGCTTGCAATAGCTGTGTCAGGGTGATTTTCATCCATAAAGGTTTGCATACATTTCCTTAATCTTTGAAGTAGGCAACTTCTTCAATTTCTCTCCCCCCTCCTCTGAAGCAGTTTCCTCAGGTCTGGCCTCTTGCTGTTGCAGATGCTGCAAGAGCATCTGCAACAATCCGTAAAGGTTTGCAGTTCAACCCACTTTGCACACATTTCCTTAATCTCTCTTTTTTTTCAATTCCATACTAATTTTCGCCCTTTTTACCACAGGGATGGCACTAGAAGCTTTCTTGGGGTCCATGGTGACTAATTTTGCAGTTACAAGCACTAAAAACACTGGGATAATATGAAATGTACCGAATGTATGTGTAAATGCGGCCGTACTGGCTGACTTGTAAACACTGGCGCTGAGGCCACACGTGGGACGCGTCCCGGACGAATCACGTAAAGGCGAGGCAAAATTTTTGCGTTAAAATGTATCGTATGGCGGATTTAACGTAACGTGATGCCATCGTAAGGCGGGGGTCCACTGTATATATAGTAGTAACTTTTAAATGCATGTACAGTATACGTATTTTTTTGTATGAGTGCTGTAGCACAGTGGAAACTCGTTACTCCAACAGCTCCCTACTTGAACAATTCAGTATTCAGACACTTTGTTCGGTAAAAAAAAAATTGCTCGGTATTCTACTGTTTCCTCAGCACTCGACCAAACAAACATGACCGGCCAGAACTTCGCTGTAAAGTATTTCATGTTTCTTCACTTTTTTTTTTTTTTTATTTGTATAGTCACCATGAGGCCTACAAAGATGAGTGATAACAGCCAACCAAAACGAAAATTGGTTTGGAAATTATTAGTTTGGTACTCGAGCAGATCAGCACTCGAACGGCTTTCTGAATGGATTAAGCTCGAGTACGAAGGGTCCACTGTACTAATGTACAGTGGAACCTTGACTTACGAGTGTCCCAGCGTATGAGTTTTTTGAGATGAGCCATTACTCAATCGATTTTTTGCTCCGAGTTACGAGCCAACATCTGAGTTACGAGTCAGCTCCGCCCGCTTCCCCCTCGACCCAAAACCTGCACACCTCGCTTATTTATCTATGATTTCATGCTTTAATTCCATGGGAATCATCCTCTTTTTTTCTTCTTGGCACTGCCCTTTACACTTTCTTTCATTGGACCCATGCTTGGAAAAATGAAATTTGGCCAAATGACTGTAAAAAATGTAAGCAAAGCAGGAGAGAAATACTCCCACACTGAGGTAAACAGTACACTGAATTGGTGGCATTCTGAAGCTCTGATTATTATTATTATTATATATTATAATGAGTGAACTTCAGCTCACTAAATTAATAATAATAATAATTATACATAATATAATAATAATAGTAATAATAATGCATACATAATATGTACTAATAATTCAGAATGCTGCCACTAGATGGCGCAGCCGATGGCAAAACATCCGGTAAAGAGTCCACATGTTTACATCCCCATGGGAGCAGTTCTTTCGTGCTTGCTTGCAGTTTTTTTTTACAGTCATTTGACAAAATTTCTTTTTTCTAACCATGGGCTCTAAGAAAATAAGTGCTAAGGTCAGTGCTGAGAAGAAAGAGGATGATTTCCATAGGATTAAAGCAGATTGTATCAGTTAAGTTCAGTGATAAAGTGTAGCATTAAGAGTGTAGCAAGTTAAGTGATTAAGCGATAGAAAAAGGACGAAATGCGGACGCTTCCGCCGCCATCATCACTTATCATATTATGGCCTGTTTTATTCATTCTAAAGTATATATCTTGTTTATCTGTTAATTATATTGTTTATTATGTCATATTAGATGAATTGTGATAGATAAATAAGCCTTAGAGTTGATATTAGCTTATATTGAAATATTTTTGTCCTGCCACTGGAATGGATTAAGGGCATTTCAGTTAATTTAAATGAGGAAAATTGATTTGATATACCAGCAAATTGAGTTACGAGCTAGGTCACGGAATGGATTAAATTCGTAAGTCAAGGTTCCACTGTATACATTAAAATATTTTTAGGAGGGTATTGACAATAGAAGATTTCTGTATGTATTATGGTATATACAGTAGTATAGTAAACTATATTAGTGACTGTAATTGCTGTAGAGTCACTGGTATGGTTTGAGAATATGTAATTTTACTTGTGCTACACTTAAGATAAAGTACAATAATTTATCTACTGTTTTACCATTTCAGTCGAGTTATCCTGCCACTCACAGTAGAGGAGGTATGTAAGATATCTAGACTGCTAATTTCATTCTCTTTAATATCCTTTAAATAATTTTTATTGTAAAATAGTGTACACTATAGGGATCACTTGAAGATTTTGCTGTCTTGACAGGTAAAAATTTTAAATGTACAGTAAAACCTCTTCATGGACTAATTGGAGAGAGAGGGGGGAAGGGGTTGTACAAAATGCTGATTTTCTGCAACTCTCAAATTATGAAATTTAACATTTTGTGATCAGTCCAGTTGTCTTCTGAAATGGTGGACTCGATTCACTGATGCAAAAGACAACCAGATACTAAGAATACAGCCTCTCCTCGCTTAGCAGCGTACTCATTTACCGACCACTCAGACTTACAACTAGCTCTCCAACCAGTCTGCAAACCTAAAAATGTATATTAGAGCTGATTTCCTTTATTCTGTTTATTACAGTATGCAGTACACTACTGTATAAACATTTAATCATTTGACTGTTGCAACCCGAAATCCTGAAGTGTCTCCTAGCATCGAAAAATTTCTGGAAAAAGAAAAAAAAATTTCTTATGAAATGATAGAGAATCTTTTCCTGATGGTAATGACACCAAAAGTATGAAATTTGATCAAAAACATATGGAATTACACTCCCGCAAAGTTAGCAATCTTGGCGATATATACGCATCTGCGATTTTGCCGACTTTGAGCTCTATTTTCGGCCAATTCCAATGTTCCAATTGACCAAACTCATAGCTATTTCTTTAGAACTCCATTTTTTCTATCGATTGAATACAAGAAGCCGCCCATTTACCAATTTCAACTGCCCAATAAAGTGGTCAGAAATTGGCAATTTGGCCAATTTCACGAAAATTAAAAAAGATGCCAATTTCAAAATAGGGTCCAGAATAAGCAATGCAGACATTCTTGGCACTAAAATAACATATCCTCTGTTCATTAGTCACGTATCCAGGCCCCTCTTATATTACTCTTGGTTTCTATTTTGATTTTTTATTCACACAAAAAATAGAAGAGTTACTGTTATGCAGACTACTGCATTATTGTAAAAATGGTATAAATAATATCAGTGCACTAGTGAAAGAATATTAGACTCCCCAGTTGACATGTATTGGACGTGTGTGGTGATTTGTTTACTCCTGAATGTTGGTAAAAATCGAACATTTCCGCTACTTTGAGCTCAATTTCAAGGTCGTTTTCATCATGAAACTAATCAAAATCATCTCTATTTCTGTAATGTGTTGTCCATTCTATCAAATGAGACCAAGAAAATGAGAATACAACCATAAATACTATAGGAAAATACACCTCAAAGTCAGTGTTGTAATCCAAAAATACGGTTAGTTTAGTTTTTTTTTCTCTCGTGCACTGCGTGCTGCAGGATTTTTTTTTTTATACAGTGCACACTGACCACACAGACCCATTCTTTTCACATTGTGGGCTACGTTTACTCCTGTTGATTTGAGCGCTAGATTTATTGGTATTATATTTCTGAAACCTGGCTCGTAAGACGTTCTATATACAGCTGAAACAGTCAAAGGGTTAAAAATAAATGAAAATATTATTAATGTCAGCAAAGTGACGTTAAAAAATTTGAAGTGGTTGACAAAATGCATACCTTATAGTATCTCCTTGCTACAACTATTGTTACAACTACTCTTAGGAACGGACCCTCATAATGAGGATGAGCTGTAGGGTATTGTAACCTGTTACATGTTGTTTGGTATATTTGTAGACACTTATAATTTACAGCGATTTTATTTTTTTTTTTTTTATTTTTTTTTTCTCTCTAAGTTTCGTTTGCATGGGGTGTAGAGTCCATGAATAATAGTGGTGGCTAGGTAGTTTTTTTTTTCTGAGTCAACTGTGAAGTTCACTAGTGAAAATAATATGGATGGCTGAGAACAATGTTTCATTTTGTACCACCACTGCTTTAGGACAAATGTTAATTGTCGTGTAGATTCTGTATCCAGGGTAAATTAGAGATAATGAACAGTGTATGCATGATGGGAACACATGCAATAACTTTGGCCAGTGGTGGGTTTCAGCTTGGGATCAGTGAAATACAGATAGGTCCTGACGTGCCACTGTGTTCCCAATACCGACAAACTTCAAGTTTGCAGGTTTTGGCCATTTCAATAACCACAGTGAACATTGCTGTGGTCAAAATGCGAATTTGACTCTATTTGTCAGATTTCTTACTCCATTTTTTTAATCACAAATCTACTGAAATCCATTAACTAAGGTTTCACACACTCTCACTTCACATCTCACTCTCACACTCACTCTCTCTCACACTCACACTCTCTCACCTATCAGTCTCTCTCAACTCTACACTCCTCTCACACTCACATCTCTCCTCATCTCTCACACTGTCTCTCACCACTCACTGTCACTCTCACTCTACACTCTCTCACTCTATCAGTCTCACTCATTCTCTCTCACTCTATCATCTCACTCATTCTCTCTCTCACTCATTCTCTCTCTCATTTCTCTCACTCATTCTCTCCTCATTCTCTCACTCATTCTCTCTCTCACTCATTCTCTCACTCATTCTCTCACTCATTCTCTCTCACTCATTCTCTCTCTCATTCTCTCTCTCATTCTCTCTCACTCATTCTCTCTCACTCATTCTCTCTCACTCATTCTCTCACTCATTCTCACTCATTCTCTCTCTCATTCTCTCACTCATTCTCTCTACTCATTCTCTCACTCATTCTCTCACTCATTCTCTCACTCATTCTCTCACTCATTCTCTCACTCATTCCTCTCACTCATTCTCTCTCACTCATTCTCTCTCACTCATTCTCTCTCACTCATTCTCTCTCACTCATTCTCTCTCACTCATTCTCACTCATTCTCTCACTCATTCTCTCACTCATTCTCTCTCACTCATTCTCTCATCATTCTCTCACTCATTCTCTCACTCATTCTCTCACTCATTCTCTCATTCTCTCTCTCATTCTCTCTCTCATTCTCTCTCTCATTCTCTCATTCTCTCTCTCATTCTCTCTCTCATTCTCTCTCTCATTCTCTCTCATTTTCTCTCATTCTCTCTCATTCTCTCTCATTCTCTCTCATTCTCTCTCATTCTCTCTCTCATTCTCTCTCTCATTCTCTCTCATTCTCTCTCTCTCATTCTCTCTCTTCATTCATCTCTCTCTCATTCTCATTCTCTCTCATTCTCTCTCTCTCTCTCTCTCTCTCTCTCTCTCTCTCTCTCTCTCTCTCTCTCTCTCTCTCTCTCACATGCACACACACACACACACACACACACACACACACTGACTGTCTTTTTTTTTTTTACACAGGGTTTGACAAGGTTAGGTTAAGGATCCCTAGCTTTATTGACAAGCTATTTACAGGTTAAGGATTCCTAACTTTATTGACAAGCTAAGAGCTGTTACCTACATCAGCTCATTTGAAAGCATTTTTATTGTTATGAGACATACAAGTAAGGAACAGGATGAAGTTGGAGCCATCTGTGGGCCAGCATTTTCATTTGATTAACTGACTTTATCTCGTTGACATCATTATGCTGTACGAATGTGTTCCATACTCGAGTCATCCTGGGTATATGTGATCTCAGATGGAGTAATTTTCTGGAGAAGGGTACAGCCAGAGTGAAGTTGCTGCTTTCTGCCCATCTTGTGGCATAAAAGCTTGTTTCACGCTGTCCTCGAAGTGGATCCAAGTGTGGTACTTTGACAATATTGGCCTTGTACATAACAGTAAGGCCACCCACATCCCTCCTGTGTTGAAGGCTCTGCTGAAATTACCAATCTATCCAGGATGGGTCCAGGCGAGAGATGAGACGTCTTGCTCTGTTCTCTACTCTGTCAAGCAGTCGCAGATGAGGGGGGGGGGGCAGGCAAACCAAGAAAGTGGAGCATACTCACTCGAGGTGTGAGCGTACTTGCGCCTCGTACAGAATCTTGCAACCCCTACTGTGAAGCAGATGCGAGATACGGCGAAGTGCTGTAAGCTTCCTGGCTGCCTTGTTTGCAAGATTTACAACATGGTTTTTCATGGTTAGTTTGGAGTCAAATTTCACCCCAAGGATATCAACTTCTCCAGGTGCCAACACTCTCCCATTCATCCTTACTACTGCACCAGCATTACCATCATGGTGCCTAGAGACCATCATCATTTGCATTTCCTCAGGTGCAAATGTTACTTGCCATCTATTTCCCCAAGCTAATATAGCTCTTAGCTGGTGTTTGACAATGGTCCCAGCATGCTTCCTTGTGGAACACTTGCCCCCATAAGATGTCTTGCTGATTCCGTTCCATTGAGAACTACCCTTAGAGATCTACCATGAAAGTAATCACTGAGGAGACATAGCATAGAGCCTGCAGTTCCCAGTGCTTGAAGTTTTGCTAAGAGGCCCTGGTGCCACACCCAGTCAAAAGCACCAGCACTGTCCAATCTGCTGATTTCTGCTCTGCTCTTCTTTTTGTGAACATTTGCCTCTTTCCACAGAGAGGGCCATTTACACTGTACTAGGCAGTGCTGAAATATGCGAGTTAGAGGTGCTGCTAGCTGGTCTGCACATCTTCTCAGCAATCTTGGGCTCAACTTGTCTGGGCCTACAGCCTTTTCTTGGTCAAGTGATTTAAGAAGGAAATGCACCTCCTCCTGCCTTATTGTCACCACTGACAGTTTTGACACAGTTCTTGCAGCTAGCCAAGGAGGGTCCCTTGCTGGATCAGGAACTTGCATTTTGGTAGCAAAGTGTTCGGCAAAGAAGTCCGCTTTCTCTTGACTACTAGTAGAGGTGGTCCCATCCTGTCGATTTAGAGGTGGAATGAGTTCATCAGGCAGATAACCTTGTCTGTCCTTGACCAGGGACCACCAGGTTTTGGAGCCTACCCTACCTGATGCTAGCTTTCTTTTGGTTTCCAAGTCCCATTTAGCAATGGCCCACGTTTGAACGTCACCCATATGCCTACAGGCTTCCCTGTGCAAGTTCCTGTTATAGGTGGTAGGATGTCTCTTATACAGTACCTTCGC